CAGGAGTTGACGGAAGACTTTCTCACCTTTAAAGTCAATGAAGAAGAGGTGCTGATCAGATTTCGCAGATCAACAAGGCCATTCAGGCCGCCGCGGCGCGCAATTTGATGTGCCTATGCTTGGTGATTGCAGGTCATGCAGCCGCTGGGCGTAGTTTTGGAGTTAGGGTTTCGGGTTTAGGGTTTGGTAATTTAGAGTTTAGGGTTTGGGGTTTAGGGTTTGGTATTTTCGGGTTTAGGGCCTGGGGTTTGGTAATTTAGGGTTTCGGGTTTGGTATTTAGGGTTTAGGGTCTTAGGATTTGGATTTAGGGTTTAGGGTTTCAGAATTTATGTTTTTAGGGTTTTTTTGGGATTTAGGGTTTAGGGTTTGAGAATTAGGGTTTTGGAGATGTGTTTTTCTCCAAAGCCCCTGTGCTGTCGTGAAGGCACCCGCAGCGGGCTACGCTGCGCCGGTCAAGAACACGTGGGGAAGCCAAGGGGGTCCACCCTAAGGCCTTGAATGCCTGAAGCTCGACTAGGGTTCAGGGTTCAGGGTTCAGGGTTCAGGGTTCAGGGTTCAGGGTTTAGGGTTTAGGGTTTAGGGTTTAGGGTTTAGGGTTTAGGGTTTAGGGTTTAGGGTTTAGGGTTGAGGGTTTAGGGTTTAGGGTTTAGGGTTTAGGGTTTAGGGCTTTGCTGGCTAAGACTACATGGATGTTCATGGGTTGTAATGAGAAGAACAGAGGTTTTTGGCAGCGAATCGATAGGTTTCGCCGGCTGTAGCCTGGTTTGGGGTACTCAAAAAGAGGCCTTACCTAAAAAGAGGCTTCAAACAACCCTGAAAAACCTTGCGTGTTCCATTGGGGTGCTCCAGCGTACTTGTGTGGGGTTGTTTGGGGGGCCAGGTTTTTCAGAAGTGGAAACCCTAAACCCTAAACCCTAAACCCTAAACCCTAAACCCTAAACCCTAAACCCTAAACCCTAAACCCTAAACCCTAAACCCTAAACCCTAAACCCCCCAAGTCCAGGGACTAGGACCCGGAGTGGACCCCTATTTCCTTTCTTTTAGGGCTGGGGTTCCCTTCTAATCCCCTGAAAACCAACAAGGGCCACCCTCTTCATTCCTAGGTTCGTCTAGGGGAATTTAGGAGGGTCATGGGGCTCAGGGCTGGGGTTTTGGGGTTTTGGGTTTTGGGGGTTGGGGGTTGGGGTTTTGGGGTTTGGGGTTTTGGGTTGATGCTCTTTTGCTACTTCCTCCAATCCCTTCAGCGCAGCTCCATGAGGTTCATCCACTACGAGTGCGATGAGCAGCCCGACTACAGGCCTTGCCCTCCTACGCCCTGAACCCTAGACCCTAACCCTATAGCCTATACCCTAAACCCTAAACCTTAAGCCTAAAACCTAAACCCAAACCCCAGTTTAGCAGTAACTACCCTCATTTAGTAGGCATGACCCATAACACTGTAGGTAAAGAGGGTCCCAGGTATACCTCAATAGGAATTCTCGTAGTATTTTAGGGCTCATCTGGGCCTCAGGGGCTGTAAAATCTAGCATTCGCGCATGGCTCCACCTGAACGTGCCAGTGTGTTGAACGAGGGTTTAGGGATTAGGGTTTAGGGTTTAGGGTTTAGGGTATGCTGCACATGTCACTTGCTCAGTTGTTCAGCATTCTCGACAACTGTTGCGCAGGTTTCCCGCGAAGGCTCCAAACAAAAATGTTCCAAAACCAAAAACCCCAAAGCACTGAACCCTAACTCCCCGAAAAGTTTCTTGACTAAAGCCATGTTCAGGATTCAGGCTAGTCGGGGCCAAGGTTTTTTTGGGAGTGTAGGTTTCAAGGTTTTAGGGTTTATTCCGAGGTAGGGTTTAGGGTTCAGGGTTTTCGGGTTTAGGGTTTAGGGTTGTAGGGAATAGGGTTTAAGGTTTAGGGTCTAGGGTTTAAGGGTTTAGGGTTTAAGGGTCGAAGCAATGGGATGATATGATCTGTGGCTGCGGCTGGCAGCTGCTGTATTCATCTTTTGCTTTCCTGGCTCATCCCTGGAGTTCCTCGTAGTAGGGTTTAGGGTTTAGGGTTTAGGGTTTAGGGTTTAGGGTTTAGGGTTTAGGGTTTAGGGTTTAGGGTTTAGGGTTTCGGGACTGTCATTGTAATACGGCCCTTAAAACCCTACGAGCCCTATAAGCCCAGAACCCTGGAATGAAACCTGAAACCCCCAGCCTTATGCCCTCAAACCCTAAACCCTAAGCCCTAAACCCTAAACCCTAAACTCCGAACCCTGAACCCTGAAGCCTGAACCTTAGCTTTAGCCTCAGACACTAAACCCGAAACCCTAAGAACTCAGGCGTCCGCCAGTTCTCCTCTTGGATTCTATCACCTCTTTAGACCCTAAACCCTACACCCTACACCCTAAACCCTAAACCCTAAACCCTGCACCCTAAACCCTAAACCCTAAATCCTGATTCTGCGGAAGGCCGGCGAAGTCTGGTCCAGCCCGTGTGGAGGCTTTTGCACGTATTCCACATACTTCCCTAAACCCTAAGCCCTAAACCCCAAACCCTAAACCCTAAACCCTAAACCCTAATGAAACTCTAAACCCACAAACTAAGGGTGTATCGGGTTTTGGGGTCACCATTGGGGTCGAGGGTTGAGGGTTTAGGATGTAGGGTTTAAGGTTTAGGGCGGGGGCAGGCATCTCCCAAATAGGGGAGGTACCCCGAACATATCCACCAAATTGCTACAGTCCTTATTCTGGGATGCACCCAAACTAGGTGCCCGAATTTTGGGGAACCCCTAAACCCTAAACCCTAAACCCTAAACCCTAAACCCTCAACCCTAAACCCTAAACCCTAAACCCTGAACCCTAAACCCTAAACCCCCCCCCCCCTCGCCCCTAGGGCTCAGATGGTTTACGCGTTTTTGTAGTGTAGGGCACAGCGATGTAGGGTGCACTGGCCTTTAGGGTTTAGGGTTTAGGGTTTATGGTTTATTTATAGGGTTTAGGGTTTATAGGGTTGGTTTAGGGTTTAGGGTTTAGGGTTTAGGGTTTAGGGTTTAGGGTTTAGGGTTTAGGGTTTAGGTTTTAGGGTGCTCTGGGCTTAGGGTTGAGGGTGTGCAGGTTGAAGGCGTCATGCTTCGGGTGCGGATCCTTTCAATTTTCATAGAACCCTAAACCCTAAACCCTCAACCCAAAACCCAAACTAGGTAGACCCTCGGGACATTTTACAGTTTCCCTTTATTGTGCTTAAGAGAATCGTATTCAGGAAGATCTTTCAGAGGGTCTTCAGGGCCATCTTAGTATTAAAGAACCATGTAACTACACCTAAACCCTGAACCCTAAACCGTAAACCTAAACCCTAAACCTGAAACCTAAACCTTGAACCCTAAACCCTAAACCCTAAACCCTAAATTTTCCCATCCTAGCAAACCCTGCACCCTCAACCCCCTGAGCCCGATGCCCTGTAGCAAAAAGGGCGGATCTGCACCGCCTCGATCCCAACAAGCTCCTTGCAGACCAAATGAACCCTTGAAGGGTTTAGGGTTTAGGGTTTAGGGTTTAGGGTTTAGGGTTTAGGGTTTAGGGTTTAGGGTTTAGGGTTTAGGGGTCATATACCTTGATAGGAATTGTAGTCGTCATACATGTACGGGCGTTTCCGAAAACAGTGGAACCCTTTTTGGGGTCCTTTTTTGAGGGGATTCTATTCCATTTGGGGGGGTATAAAAGGGGTCCCCCTATTTTGGGAAATACCCATACCTTAACAGGAATTATAGTAGAATAGGGTATCTGACCCCAAGTTTTAGGGTTCATTTGGTCTCAACAAGAACTTCAGGAGCACCGCACCACGCCACTTCGGCGTGCAGCCCAGCATGGTTTTTAGCGTGTTGGGTTTTCGGGCTGACTGGGTCTAGGGTTTAGGGTTTAGGGTTTAGGGTTTAGGGTTTAGGGTTTAGGGTTTAGGGTTTAGGGTTTAGGGTTTAGGGTTTAGGGTTTAGGGTTTAGGGTTTAGGGTCTAAGTAGACCTACCCGTGAATCTTCAAGAAGGCTCTGGCAAGCAGTTGCTACTTAGCATCTTCCGGGCCGGGCAATCCACGTGCATTGTGGGGCTGTTCCTGCGGGTCTTTGTGTTGAGGATGCAGAGTATCGGGTACAAGCGTCCGTGAACCCGACACTGAAACCCTAAAGCCTAAGCCCTAAACCCTAAACTCTCGTTTTGGTGATCGACAGCTGTAGATTCTACTGCAGATGCAACGAAGAATAGGGCAAGCGATCCTAGGTCCTAAAGTAAACTCAGTAAACTCAGAAATTTGGAACATGGATATTGGGTGATTAGAGCTGGGATTCCCTTTAGGATGCCTTTTAGGGTATGTAGATAATGGTGCTTTAACTTTCTGGATTCTGCTGTAGTTTACTCTCTGACATGGTTGCCCCAAGTCCAGACACTGCCAGACACCTTAACCCAAAGTCTCCGAAACGCCTGGGTTTCACTGTTTCGGGTCCTTGCCGCGCCAGTTCAGGAAGAGTTGCCAGGGGATCTGTTGTGATGGTTCCTTAACCTCTGCCTGAAGACATGTTGGGTTGAGAGTTCATAGTACAGGGTTAGGGTCGCAAGCAGCTTCAAACGCTGAGCAGGCATCCCCTGGGACCATTGAACCTTTTGCATCCAGCAGCGTGGCTCGAACCGGCAGAACCATGAGACTTGACACGCCCACTTGAGGGAGGTCATCGACGCAATGTTCCCAAAGCCTTTCCAAGCCTGAAGGGCAGGGCGGAAGCAGTATCGGCATTCTGTTCATCTTGTTCCTTCCGCTCTGTTTCGGTTTCTTTGAAGGCACTTCTGATAAGTGCGCCGCTGCGATTTCCATCGCTGATGTCTTGATCATCTCATGACGGCAGTGGTTCCTTTGTCACATGGTTTCGCTGCAAGAGTTGCTTTTTTTAAGCTGTTTAACCCGATGCTATGTTAAGCCAGACTATCTCCACACAGCGACGCGAGCCTGGCCATTTGCGTCCGCGGACGACATCCTGCATATGGAGTCGCGCTACCGAGCCGCGCGGATCTTCATTGCTGGCTGCGCCACACAGGACAGACAGAAGATGCGGCTTAGTGCCGCGGGTGTTAGGGCTTCGGGCCGAATCCCTAAACCCTAAACCCTAAGCCCTTAACCCTTATTTTATGATGTAACTCGGAAGGAGGCCTCTGCCCCCAAGCACGATGCCCGCAGCCCTAACCCAGCAAAACTCAAATCCTCAACCCTGCGTCCGTAAACCCCGAACCCTCATAAACTAGGGCTCTGTAGGGCTTAGGGTCTAGGGTAAACAAGGGCCCAGAGTCGTCCCCTGATTCCCTTTTGTCAGGCCTTTGTGAAACCCGACCTCCCCTCCCCCCTTCCCCCCTCCCCCCCCCCCACCCCCCTCCCCGCCTTTTTCATTCCTAGGCTACCGAGCCCTGCACAGGAAGTCCCAAAGCCCGAAGTCCTCAGCCCAAAGCGAACTTTAGGGGGTTTCGGGTTCAGGGTTTAGGGTTTAGGGTGTAGGGTTTAGGGCCACCGCTATGCGGCTATGCCCCATGGGTGCCACTGAGGCTACAAGGGTTTGAGGTACTCGAGGGTGTCTCTGGCCGTTACTTGCCGTTGATCCTCATAGAACTGGGCTGGAACCTGCAAGCAGAGCTCCCACTCAAAGGCCCCGAACCCTTAACCCGACACCCTAAACCCTAATCTCTAAACCCTAAACCCAAATGCCAAAACGTCGCAGTGCCACCCGCAGTCCAGCTTGGAACGGCAGCTGGCAGTTCCCCGGCGCAGCCGCCCCTGGGAATTGTTTTTGGAGTTTAGAGCTTATAGGGCTTTAGGGTTTAGGGCTTAGGGTTTAGGGTTGAGGGTTTAGGGCTGAGGGTTTAGGGTTTAGGGCTGATGGTTTAGGGTTGAGGGTTTAGGGTTTAGGGTTTGGGGCTGGGCTGTCTGGCCTCCCCAATAGGTTCAGCAAACCCTCCCCCCGTCCTTGGATACCAGACGAAGATGCACCAGAAAATCCCTGAAGAAGATTTCCTCAATCTTGGAAGGGCAACGGTTACACCCCGAACCCTCCCCTCGGGGTTTAGGGTTTAGGGTTTTGGGGGTTTAGGGTTTAAGGCTCCCTGCACCATCATTCTGGACATTTCTGAACTGCGTGTCTCAGTGGGAGTCGCTCTGCAACCTGATGCACGCAGTACCTTCATACATCGAACCCCGAAGTGGAAGGTGATTTGCTCAAAACTCTTTTCTTTTGTGCAAGCTTCTCTTAAGCAAATGCATCAAGCAACATTGTGTCCAGGTCGTCGGTATTCATTTTCATAGCACTTCTAGCCCCCTTCCCCCACAAACAAAAATGCCGAAAGTAGAGGATTAGCCGCAGGCCCCCAGACTCAAAGCGGGTTTCGGGTTCGGGGTTCAGGGTTTAGGGTTTAGGGTTTAGGGTTTGGGGTTTAGGGTTTAGGGTTTCAGGCCTCAAAGCATGAAGCCTGAAGAATTTCAATCTTCGACCCTAAACCTTCCTCTGTCAGACAGGGGGCCCTAAGCCCTAAAGCCTAAGCCCTAAGCCCCAAGCCCTAAGCCCTAAACCCTGAACCCTAAACCCTAAACCCTAAACCCTAAACCCTAAACCCTAAACCCTAAACCCTAAACCCTAAACCCTAAACCCTAAACCCTAAACCCTAAACCCTAGCAGCTTCCCTGAAGGCGACCAGCGAGGCACTCACAACCTGGAAGGAACCATCGCCGACGTGAGCACCATGCTCAGGTTGCTGGTCTGAGGGATCAGGGTTAGGGTTTAGGGTGTAGGGTTTAGGGTGTAGGGTGTAGGGTTTAGGCTGCAGGGTGTAGGGTTTAGGGTGTAGGGTTTAGGGTTAGGGTTTAGGCAGGTGTTAGCCCTGGTTTGATTTTCAGCCCCACAATGTTGAGGGTTGAGGGTTGAGGGTTGAGGGTTGAGGGTTGAGGGTTCCACCTCTCTCCCCCGTGGCTCAGATTTCTTCAGCTTGAGGGGGGTACTGGGGTCGGCGGCTTCGGGTTTCGGGTTGAAAGTGGGCTAAACCCTAAACCCTAAACCCTAAACCCTAAACCCTAAACCCTAAACCCTAAACCCTAAACCCTAAACCCTAAACCTATATAGGGCCCTGTCATCCCAGGGGCTTTGAGTCCCCGCCCTTTGTAAACCTCCCATTCAAGCTGCAGATGCGGTATCCCTTTTGTGTGTTTCCTCTTGGTAGGCACGCTTTGCACTTTTTTGGTTCTGCGGTTTAGGGTTTAGGGTTTAGGGTTTAGGGTTTAGGGTTTAGGGTTTAGGGTTTAGGGTTTAGGGTTTAGGGTTTAGGGTATGGGTTCCCTTACAACGTAACCAGCCAACAAAAGGGTACACTTACTCGAATATGGTTCCTGGGCTACTCAGTCCTTGGGGACGACATGTACCCTTAAAGCGTCCATGGTTCACATGACTTACCCAAAGGGTCCTAAGTACCTACGCAGTAAAAAGTAGTAGGGTTTCTATGATAAGA